GCATTCTGCCTCGAGTCTCTGTATTTATCTGGTGGTCTATGTTGACGACATTGTTATTACCGGCAATGACCAGGATGGTATTACTAAATTGAAGCAACATCTCTTGCAACACTTTCAGACTAAGGATCTGGGCAAACTAAAGTATTTTCTGGGTATTGAGGTCGCTCAGTCTAGCTCAGGTGTTGTGATCTCACAACGAAAGTATGCCTTAGATATTCTTGAAGAGACAGGAATGACAGGTTGTAGACCGGTTGACACTCCGATGGATCCGAATTCTAAACTTATGCCAGGACAGGGGGAGCCTCTTAGCGATCCTGCAAGATATAGACGGTTGGTTGGTAAATTAAATTACCTTACAGTGACAAGACCTGACATTTCCTTTTCTGTGAGTGTTGTGAGTCAGTTTATGGATTCTCCGTGTGATAGTCATTGGGATGCAGTTGTTCGCATTCTTCGGTATATAAAATCAGCTCCAGGCAAAGGTTTATTGTTTGAGGGTCGAGGCCATGAGCAGATCGTTGGATACTCAGATGCTGATTGGGCAGGATCACCTTCTGATAGACGTTCTACGTCTGGATATTGTGTCTTGGTAGGAGGAAATTTGGTGTCCTGGAAGAGCAAGAAACAGAATGTGGTTGCTCGGTCTAGTGCAGAAGCAGAATATCGAGCGATGGCTATGGCGACATGTGAGCTAATTTGGATCAAACAGTTGCTCAAGGAGTTGAAATTTGGTGAGATTAGTCAGATGGGACTTGTGTGTGATAATCAAGCTGCTCTTCATATTGCGTCAAATCCAGTGTTCCATGAGAGAACTAAACACATTGAGATTGACTGTCACTTTGTTAGAGAAAAGATACTCTCGGGAGATATTGCTACAAAGTTTGTGAAGTCGAATGATCAGCTTGCAGATATTTTCACCAAGTCCCTCACTGGTCCTCGTATTAACTACATATGTAACAAGCTCGGTACATATGATTTATATGCACCAGCTTGAGGGGGAGTGTTAGAATAGTCATGTAAATAGGAGTAAATAAATAACCCTAATCCAATATATATTAGGAGTAGGACATGTTATGTGTGTATATATATAGGGCTCATTGTAACATATGAATATACATCAATAATATATTTTCTCCCGTGCTTTCTCACAATTATAATTTGAGAAAGGTTAATTTTCAGTTGAGTGCTATTAATTGTTCATTGTGGAGGTTGGTTCAATAGCTACCCTAAAGCTCCTACCGTCATTTGGTTGATGTATCAATAATTAATTTCAGTATAAACATCTTCATAAGAATACAGTGTTGGTTTGCCGTATAAGGAAAAATAATCGCTGCATAACTTTAATGCACCATTTGGTTTACAATATTAAAGAATCTATGTATTATTGTGTGCACGATAGAATGTGAAATAAGTATGTGTATTAGCAATGCCAGGATTAAGCTATTTACAAACAAAAATGCCCTTTTAGAATAAGTTATTTATGTATAACAATCTGTTCATTATTAATCACCGCAAAGCAATTTCGTCATCATTACTTTATAAAAACAAATTCTTTATTATTAATCATTGCATAAATGATACTTGCATTATGATCCCCACTTGACTAGTATGTGAACCAAATGACCTGCTACAGTTCGTTTTGTTTAAGGGCTAGTTATGTAGGGATATTATTTATACGCGGGCAAACAATGTGCGGATTGTGGTACGACGAATAATAATGTAGGTTGTTTTCTATAGTGAGTAATGATATTGAGATTGTGTTATGTAGGGATTGCATACTTAAAGGGCATTTATTGCTAATACTGGTATTCTTGTTCCAACATTCCGTCTTGCATTACATATTAAATAGGCTCCCACATAAGTAGTAACCCCATTTGTTCACTTAACGGGGGTCAGAATCTGAATTATTCAAATCTCAGTCTATTAAGTGCATTTATTTTTATCCTTCCACCAACACTTATTAGCTTGTGAACGTTCAAATCATTCATATCTTGTACAAAGTCTTAAAATCATTAAGATGTGTACTTAAACATTCTTGTTGATGTAATCTTTTACTATATTTATTACCACCAACTATCGCCACTGTTGGCCACCACCACACAACCACCCTTGCTGACCTCTTCCACCACCAGCCACCTCTACAACCTGCCATTATTTTCAACCACCATTAGCCACCACGATACATCTATCACATCTATCCACCATTGCACAACCACAGCTCCTAACCATCTCCACCAACTATGACCACCGTCCACCGCCAACCATCACCTTACGACCATCTTCGCCGATTACCCAGCTTTTAGAGTGTGATTCATCAAAGAAACAATTTATACAACACCACGTAAATTTATAGTTTCTCTAGTATTTTGTGGATATAATATTCATTATTAACTTATTTGAATTCTATTTATTAGTTTCTAAACAATAGACACATTTAGATTTTGAGAAAACAAGCAGTTTTAATTGTCCAATGTTCAGATCTAGATACAGTGTCTTTATAATCAAGGATATATTCAGGTTCAGACATCTTAATAAAAGCAAACGGGCCCTAGTAATGTGCGGTTTAATACTGTAAACCAAATGTACAGTAATTATGCAATTGACCAGAAATCAATTGTTGTATTATTATGGAAAGTTTACATCACAAATCCAATAATTTGTTAGTTATATGAAGTTCTATGCTGTGATTCTTTTATGTGGCCAACCAAATGACCTATAGATGAATGGTATTATCCAATGATGAGTAAAATTACTCAGCAAATGAACACATCATTGTTTACCGACTACTTTGTGTTGGAAACAGGTCTGATTTGTTCCAATAACTTATATGTAATGTGTTTTCTTATTTTTGAAATTTAGTTATAGTATTTGAGAAGGGGAGCCTTGGCGTAACTGGTAAAGTTGCTGCCATGTGACCAGGAGGTATCAGGTTCAAGCGTGGAAACAGTCTCTTGCAGAAATGCAGGGTAAGACTGCGTAAAATAGACCCTTTTGGTCTGGCCCTTCCCCGGACCCCGCGCATAGCCGGAGCTTAATGCACAGGGTTGCCTTTTATTTATTTATTTTATAAGTTATAGTTTTTGAGATGTTCATTTGTTAAAGCACAATTTAATTGAGAAGAGCTAAATGCTGTAGACTTAATCAGCCTTTATTTTGAAGTGTTTGATCTAATTAGTGGCTCCTTTACCATTTCCAAAAAAATAAAAATTAGTGGCTTATCTGAGATGTTAATTATAGATCTGTTCTGTTTTGGGATTCATAATGTTCTCTTATGCCTATTATTATTGCTGTTTGTAGGTTAGGGTTTCATGAAATTTTGTCTTGTCGTGTGATGGAAATGTGTTCTGTGCTTCTGGATTCATAAGGTTCTAATATGTTTGTATTGCATCAGATGTTGAAGAAACTTAGCAAACAACTCAATGGTGAGGACTGGTCATGGAACAATCTAAATACATTGTGTTGGGCAATAGGATCCATATCTGGGTCTATGTTGGATGAGCAGGTACACTTTTTTAGTTTTTCACTTTGAGTCTTATATGAATTTCACTGGTTTCAGACATCAATCATATGATTTTCATTGGTGGATTTCTATTTTTACTTTTGGACAAGCAACCTCTTTTTTATCATATGCAACGATTTGGGTTATAATTTTGCTTTTTCTTCATCTGAACCCCTAAACTCTCTTTTATCTCTTTTGTTAGTTTGTTTTTTGTGGTTGTACAAGAGTTAAGTTAATTCAGTTTGAATGAGAATGTCTGATTGGCCTTTGAATTCTCAACCTTATTTAATGGTAGGTGCTCTTATCATCTTCCCTTTTCTTCGTAACACAAGGTTGTAACTAGTAATGAGTGCAAACCTTCAGTTTTAGTGTTCTTTTGAAATGTTTGAGGCTTGTAAGTTGTAACTAGTAATGATTGTAAACGTTCAGTTTTAGCGTCCATTTGAAATGCTTTTCCAAATAATATCAGTCTGTGCACATTATACAGGCAACAATTTGGCTGAAAAAGCTGTAATAGCAGTATAGCACGTGTAGACTTTGGTTTATTGGTTTGGTTGCCCTTCAATACCTTTATTGACTCTTATTTGGCGTCTTTCATTTGATTGATTGATAGGATTCACCCTTTTATGTCGTAGATTTTCCTATACTAAGATTTCTCTTCTTCACTACTTCTGTTGAGTTATCTATTGGCAGGAGAACAGGTTTCTTGTGATGGTGATACGTGATTTGCTAAATCTCTGTGAAATCACCAAAGGAAAAGACAACAAAGCTGTAATTGCTAGTAATATAATGTAAGAATAAAGTTCCAATTGTCACTTGCTTTATGTGGTTACTTAGCAGTTACAAATGTAACTTTTGCTCACAATGTGGTTTATCCTTAATTTTGATAGTGTTTGTGGCCTATCAGTAGCCTGAATTGTTTCTGTTATATGGTGCATGGTTCATGACCTTCATTGGTCCATTGCCAGGTATGTTGTTGGGCAATATCCAAGATTTTTGAGGGCTCACTGGAAGTTTTTGAAGACGGTTGTGAACAAACTGTTTGAATTCATGCATGAATCACATCCTGGAGTGCAGGTTTTGTTTGGCTTCTTTTGAATCAATTCAGTTGCTTTTCTACTTCTTTGTGACTGCTCGCTGGAATCTTCTCTTCTATTCTATACTAGAAAATTTGATAACTTAAGGATTCCTCATTTGCTAGTTGTAGTCTTTTTGTTGTTCTTAGACTCTTAAGTCTTTTGTAATGCTTTAAATTGCACAATGGTTGAGTGGTTGGTTCACAATGATTGTTGTGGTAGTGCCTGTATTTTAGTTTTCATTTTTAAGGGGTAATCCTGAAGCATCTAATGCAATAATACAGAGATGGTATCAGGAATTTGATGCCCCAATTAGAATTTGGTTATTAATTAAGTGATGGAGTGTGTCAGGCACTGATATGTCTGTCTGTCTGTCCTGTTTATGGTGGAGGGGAGGGTGGCTTGCATGGTGGGTTTTTATATCACCATGTGGTCTAACACAGGATTGAAACCAACTATTTCTTTTCATATGCTTTTTAATTTTACCTATGGTTTACTGAGATAGCATCATTTCTGGTATTTTAGATCTTGACTCTCTCTTATTTTATAGGATATGGCATGTGATACATTTTTGAAAATAGTCCAGAAGTGCAAGCGCAAATTTGTTATTGTTCAGGTAAGAATATTGTCTCATCTATCATTTTTCTTAGAATCTGAGGAATAGATATTATAATGTTTTCTTTCCTTGTTTTCAGGTTGGAGAAAATGAGCCATTTGTTTCTGAACTCTTAACTACTCTTCCAACAACAATTGTAGATTTGGCGCCTCATCAGATTCATACCTTTTACGAATCCGTAAGGACTTCATTCTAGAAATTAAGTTCTCGTGATAAGCTTTTGCTCGTTTGCTCCCTTATTTTTATAAAATTGCTTATTTTGTAATGATCGTGTATCACTGTCATTTGTTTAGGTTGGTCAGATGATTCAAGCAGAATCAGATCCCCACAAAAGAGATGAGTATTTGCAGAGGTTAATGGAGCTTCCGAATCAGGCAAGACCCACACTATATAATTCAGATTGGGAGTTGGCTTCAAATGCTCTGTGTTTTTTGTGTGTTAACAATGTGCTATATTTATGGCTGTACTTTAAATATTCTTGGAGCTTGCACTTCTGTATGACTTATGAATACCTTTTCTCTGAGCTAGAAATGGGCCGAAATTATAGGACAGGCGCGGCAAAGTGTTGATTACCTGAAAGATCAAGATGTTATTAGGGCAGTGTTAAATATATTGCAGGTATGTTTCTTGTAGAAGTTAAAATCTGTGGTTCCTTCTCAATATGTATCAGTTGCCATAGTGGCGCGTTTTGCTGATTGCATTTTCTTAAAACTGATATTCCCCTTTCTCAGCATTCAGTTGGGGATTTGAATTGTAAAAGTTGTGTATAAAGAACGTCCATTTTCTCCTTCCGTGTTATATGTTCTGCACAATGACTGGTAGTGTATTTCCTGTGAACGATGCATAAAGACCTCTAATTCATTCTCAAACATCTATGTAGCAAGTGATCCTCATGCCAGTTTCAATTTAACATCTCATTCGAGTTCTACCTTGGTTGTGTGGTAGGCACAAAAATGTAGTGCCTTTTGACACATTAGGCATTATGGGAATCTAATGGACTGTATTGAACACAATATAAGCTCTACATTATGATTACTAATGCTGGCCTTTTTTAGTACTTTCATGTTCCTTTTTTTTTTTCCAAAATTTGTGCAAACAAAGGTTCTTGATTCTGGAAATATGCTTTTTGTTCTCAAAGCAAGCAGTATTCTTCCGAGTCCAAATTTTGTAGGGGGTGTTTTGTACTTTTGTTTACCTCCTTGGCACCTTTATTAATGAAATCTTTATCTTTAAAAAATAAAAAAATTGTAGTTGCTTTTATAGTTGTTGGATTGGTTAATATTATTTTAAAAATTGATCTTCACATTTTCTATTTCACATTTAACGATTTTGGTAAGAACTAAACTTCTGTTTGAAAATCTCTTTTGCTGAGCATTTGCTTCTGTGTTTTTTTCTCTCTCCTGTGCAGACAAATACCAGTGCTGCTAGCTCCCTTGGTACATATTTCTTGCCTCAAATTACTCTCATATTTCTGGACATGCTCAATGTTTACAGGTACATCATTGGTTGTGTCCCTCTTTATCTTGTTGGGTTATTCTATGTTATATGATGTGGGCCCTAATTTGGTGTTTCAATGTACATGTTGCTGCTTCACTTAGTGAGGTTTTAGTCGTTGGTTTTTAATGGCGAGCTTTTATAACTGCAGAATGTACAGCGAGCTGATATCAACAAGCATTGCACAAGGAGGGCCCTATGCGTCTAGGACATCCATTGTGAAACTTTTGCGGTATGGTCTAGTTATTTAGTTTGCTCCTTTTTTATCCAACTTTCTGTCATGCATCTCACTTGGGTTTTGATGAGAGACAGCTCAGTAAAGAGGGAAACGTTAAAGCTTGTGGAAACATTTCTGGACAAGGCTGAAGATCAACCACATATTGGAAAGCAATTTGTGCCGCCCATGATGGATCCAGTTTTAGGTGACTACACGAGAAATGTTCCTGATGCCAGGGAATCTGAAGTTCTCTCTCTTTTTGCTACAATTATAAACAAGTAAGCTATTCCTTCCCCTTCCAACTGGCACTCTGCAGGGCAGAAAGATTAACAATAGAAAATTGAATCTGCCTTATTAGAATGAACCTTCCCACTCCAAATGTTAAATGTGGTGGTTTGCTCCCATATGAATTACCTGCAACTTTTTAAGTCGCACTAAACAGAAGTGATGTCCATGAGTTACTGCTTTATACTATATTTGTCAGTAATGGCAAACTATGCTAAATTTGCTTCTCTATTTTCTTCCTTGTGTAGGTACAAGGGTGCTATGATAGAGGATGTGCCTCGGATATTTGAAGCTGTGTTCCAGTGTACTCTGGAGGTTAGTGAATTGTGCGGTAAATTTGTATGTAGTGTTTGTCTTTACATCGAGGAGTACTGAAGCATTACATTAAGCTACAAAGTGCTATTTGAAGCTATAGGAGCTTTCTGTTGGCTGATTTTTTGTTGCGGAACAATGAGAGAGTTTGCAGATGTATGATTTTATTGATACCTCCATGTGCATTAATTGGAGTGATACTGCTCATATTCACAATCTTTTCTTACTTCTGTCCTCAACTGCTGCTTCATCGGTTGATTTTATTGAGGATATATGACTAACACGGAGCCATTGAAGTTTTTCTGCAGAGATATATGCATAGATGACAGACATGTCTACGTACTGATTATTTTTGGCCTATTGCAACTCCGCTCATTCCCATAGTCCAAATGTTTTCCTATTATTGGCTCATAACGTTCACATACACCTAAGAAGAGTATCTCTTCCCCCCGGTTTTTGGGAGTATTTAACTGGTCATATCATCATGATTTTCTTAGGTTAAGTTAGTTGTGTCCCTTGAACTAAATGGTAAGTTGTGAGGATATAATGTGCCCCACCAGCACAAGGCTATCTAGTTGCTTTATAGATAATGTGATTTTTGTAATAACTATTAGGGAATTATCAGTTTGATCATTGGTTTACTGGACAGCAGATGATCACGAAGAACTTTGAAGATTATCCAGAACATCGGCTCAAGTTCTTTTCGTTACTTCAGGCAATTGCTACACATTGTTTTCCTGCTTTAATACGACTATCAAGTGAGGTATGTGATCCCATGGCTCATTCTTGGTGTAGTGTATTCAAAGCACCTTTTTTGTATATTCAAAGCACTTTTCAGAAATACATTGATATGGCTGTCATTTCTTTCTCTAAGTTAATATGAGCTTATGCTGGATTTTGATGTTTTTTCCCGATTGATGATCAGCAAGTAAAGCTTGTTATGGACTCTATTGTATGGGCCTTCCGGCACACTGAGAGGAACATTGCTGAAACTGGGCTTAACCTTTTATTGGAGATGCTCAAGAATTTTCAGGTGCTTGCTGATTATTGGCCCATCTATAATGATTTTTGTTCTCTGTGACTGGGTGGTGTAACCATTTTCTATCTCTTGGCAGGTATCCGAGTTCGCTAACCAGTTTTACAGGACTTACTATTTGACAATCGAGCAAGAGATTTTCGCTGTGCTGACGGACACATTTCATAAACCTGGGTTTAAACTGCATGTATTGGTGCTACAGCATTTATTTTGCCTGGTATGTATCTGCCTGACAAAGTGCTTTGCCCAGTTGCACTAGCATGTGCGTCACATTAGTGGTATTCTGGTTACAGGTTGAGTCTGGCAGGTTGACTGAGCCTCTATGGGATGCATCAACAGTGCCTTTTCCTTATCCAAATAATGCGACATTTGTCCGTGAATACACCATTAAACTTCTTAGTTCATCATTTCCGAACATGACATCAGCCGAGGTGAGCAAAACCTTTTAGATGATGTTTCTCATATATTTTGTGGTGTACATTATGCCCTAAATTTTAGAACTTCTGTTCCTTTTCAGGTTACCCAATTTGTGAGTGGGCTATTTGAATCGACGAATGACCTGCCCACATTCAAGAATCACATAAGAGATTTCCTTGTTCAGTCCAAAGAATTCTCTGCTCAGGTTATTATTTCATGGAGACCTTTAAGCTTCCAATCGCCCTTAGTTTCTGGCGGGGTTTTGTGTGGTGGGGTGTCTTCCATTTTGCTATCCTCTTCCAGTAAATTCATTACTAAATACATATATGCCATTAATCTAGTGATTGAAATTTGTGTTTGACTGGTGTGTGTTGTTTTCAATCTCTAGCAATTAATGTTAACTGCGAAAACCACATTTGGTACTTGATCTGGTTTGTGTAGTCATATTCCTTCTCCTTTTTAGGGTTGCAAAATTCTGGGACATGTATTGGTTCCTCGACCTCGAGGGATGGAATAAGCCTGTCAAGCTATTCCATATTGACTTAATAGCAGTGAAGCTATTAAATCTCTAGCTGTTCTGTTTCAAACCTCTACTTTTATCTCTTTTCCTTTTTGGTCTTCTGTTTCTATTTTCCGGATTTCTGATGTTCTAGTTTCTTCAATATGTCGACTTGATCTGCAGGACAACAAGGACCTTTATGCTGAGGAAGTTGCTGCACAGAGAGAGACGGAGCGACAAAGGATGCTTTCCATTCCAGGGCTTATCGCACCGAATGAGATACAAGACGAAATGGTGGATTCATGAAATGGAGAGTTTGCGCAGAAGCTAATTTGATTCCATTAATACCCAATAGGTGGTTTGCATTCATGGAGTTGTTATCATGAACGATCCTGTCCAGCTGATCCTAGTTTTTGATTTTTTTAATATTTATTCTCAAAATTCTCACAGCAGAGAACCGCTCTTTCTTGGAACATTGGCTCATCTTCCAAGGGAACGATTGACTGGATGTAGAGTATTTAGATCCTAATGTAGGGAATATATATCTACAGTGTACGGGTTATAGTTCCAGCTTGGGCGTTGTAGATCCATAGAGGATTCAACAGATTTTAATTGGCTTAGTAGTTTACAGCCATTGAGAATAGTGTAATATATGCAGGTATCGGCCGGTTGTGCATAGATCATTTTGTTTGTTGGTGGAAACATTGATGTACGTCCAAATGGATTCAGAAGTATGTTTTTTCGCTCGTGGTAATATGAATCCTTGGTCCAACTCTCTATTCTCTTAAATTTCTTCTACAGAATCAGATATCTTATCAGAATATGACACATTGATAGGTTCACTCGTACAAATCAAGCTTTAATATGCCTAATTGGGCTGTTTCTGTAAAATTTCCCAATTTGACGGGGCATTTGCATCTATACTCGTTTTTTGTGCCATATTTTAACTTGTGCCCGCTTTGCAAAAAAAATTGCAAGCGTACCCGCTTTTTCACATAACTTTAGCACACGGGGCTGAAGTAGCAAAGACAATTACACAAAACTTCAGCATTTTAGTAGCCGGGCCTGAAGTTCAGCTCTAGAGCTGAAGTTTTTTTTTAACTCGCGAACTTCCGCTCTAGAGCTGAAGTTTGCCAGTTATAAAATAAAAACTTCAGCTCTAGAGCTGAAGTTTGCGAGTTAAAAAAAACATCAGCTCTAGAGCTGAAGTTTGCCAGTTATAAAATAAAAACTTCAGCTCTAGAGCTGAAGTTTTCAAGTTATAACATAAAAACTTCAGCTCTAGAGCTGAAGTTTTTGTTTAGTAACCCGAAAATTTCAGCTCTAGAGTTGAAGTTTGCTAGTTATAAAATAAAAACTTCAGCTCTAGAGCTGAAGTTTTTGTTTAGTAACCCGAAAATTTCAGCTCTAGAGTTGAAGTTTGCTAGTTATAAAATAAAAACTTCAGCTCTAGAGCTGAAGTTTTTGTTTAGTAACCCGGAAACTTCAGCTCTAGAGCTGACTAGAGCTGAAGTTTCCCAGTTATAAAGGGAAGCTGAAGTTTTTTAAAAAGTGGGTACGGATGCAAACAAAAAGACAAAGCGGCTACAGGTTAAAAAGGGGCGCCCAAATAGGGCGCCCCGTGCAATTTTTACCAATTTGACCACTAAGAATATTATTTTACATTCATCTTAATTGTAGTTCATGTCCGTACAAATCAACTTTCTTGAGAGCTACACTGTCCTGGAAACTGATTCAGGTAAACTTCAAATAAAGGGAAGCCAGTATTGACAGCTTCATATTGCTCTTCCCCTAGCATAAACCCATTTAAAACAACAACAAAAAATCCAGTGAGTTCTCACAAGTTGGGTTTGAGGAGGGTAATGTGTACCTAGATCTTATCCCTACCCCAGGAGGATAGAGAGGCTGTTGCCATGTATTTACAAAATTCACAAAGTAAAAAAGAAAGAAAAGAGGTGTTATGGTATAAAATACAAAGTCGACAAAAAGGATGATACACTCGACACCTCAAGATACATGCTATAGACCACCATATTATTTAACAAAATTGTGGGCGATGTGCACAAATAGCCACTAACAGCACCTGTCTTTACTTTAAAGCCAGTGTTTTAAATGTTTTTAGTCTTTAGCCACTGGTTTAATAAACTTTTACCTGACCGGACGAAAATACCCTTCTGCTATAACTTATACCTACACTTTTATTAACGATCACGCAGCAACAGTAACTAACTTCAGCAGCAGCTTTTCTTCCGATTTGAGATTGTGATCACTATAGAATTGCAGAAGCTTCTCTTCAATTTGAAACTGTAGAATTCAACTTTTTCGTCCAAAAATCGACATAAATTTACTGTAAGTTATGCTTTTGTGTGTTTCTGTTGATTTTTATTTCGTTACTACGAATTTGATGCTAGGAATTTGTTTTTTTTTGAATTTCCGAATTGATAAGGTTAAGGACATCGCGTCCTTTGATAATTCTATAAAAATTGAGCACATAGTGTTAAGGATTTGGTGTCATGATCGTTATTACTAATATTAAGGACATAGTGTCCTGATTTTGCAAATTGAATTGAAAAAGTTAAGGACACAATGTCCTTAACTTTTTTGCTGTTCTTCTCAATATTAAGCACATACTGTCATAGTTTTTCAAATTGTTTTGAAAAAGTTAAGGACATTTGGTCCTGAAGTTTGAGTTTGAAGTTGAAAAGTTAAGGACACTTGGTCCTGAACTTTGACTTACATGTTCAAAAGTTAAGGACAGGCAGTCTTTAACGTCAAGTTTGAAGTTGAAAAGTTAAGGACACTTGGTCTTGAACTTTGACTTACATGTTCAAAAGTTAAGGACATGCAATCCTTAACTTCAAGTTTGAAGTTGAAAAGTTAAGGATACTTGGTCCTGAACTTTCACTTACATGTTCAAAAGTTAAGGACATGCAGTCCTTAACTTCAAGTTTCAAGTTGAAAAGTTAAGGACACTTGGTCCTGAACTTTGACTTACATGTTCAAAAGTTAAGGACAGGCAGTCCTTAACTTCAAGTTTCAAGTTGAAAAGTTAAGGACACCTGGTCCTGAAGTTTGAAAGGCAGTCCTTAACGTCAAGTTTCAAGTTGAAATGTTAAGGACACTTGGTCCTGAAGTTTGAGTTTCAAGTTGAAAAGTTAAGGACAGGCAATCCTTAACTTCAAGTTTCAAGTTGAAAAGTTAAGGACACTTGGTCCTGAAGTTTGAGTTTGAAGTTGAAAAGTTAAGGACACCTGGTCCTTAACTTTGAATTACAAGTTCAAAAGTTAAGGACACCTGGTCCTTAACTTTGATTTCCAAGTTAAAAAGTTAAGGACAGTTGGTCCTTAACTTTGAATTCCAAGTTCAAAAGTTAAGGACACTTGAATTTACAGTACCTATTCTTAATTATACAAGGATTGCTCTATAAAATATGTCCTGAGTTTCCCATTCTCTTGACTTGCAGGATGGAAACAATATGCATTATAGTTGCTTTTAATGGTAGATGGACTGAAGACTATAAGTATCTTGATCATCAAACAAAGCTTGTTCTAGTACCTGAGGCAATTCATTTTCAAGATTTCATTAAACAGATCTTTGAAGTTATTGAATTGGATAGAGATAAGTTTGAAGCAGTGATATGGTTTGATATCAACCTTGGAACAAGCAAGGGAATGCTTGTATCCAAAGATTTAGATCTTCACACATGTATTGAGTTACTAAAAGGTCATTCACTCTTCAAGGGTTGTCGTTTCATTGTTGATATTTCGGAAAGAGTTTGTGGATCAACAAGTGCCTTTGAACATGTCAACAGAGAAACTCAACATGACAATCAAAACAAATGCCAACAGATAATGGAAATAGATATCGTTGAAGCTCAACCAATAACTGAAGAGGCCTTCAAATATCTGATTTTATTCAAGTAGAAGGACAAAGCATTATAGAGATTGACAACGAACAAGCTTTGGGTATTCAAGTCTTAGAGAGTGCACCGGTAATCGAAGAAGTTGCTGAAAAAATTTCTACTCAACTAACTAGACGAAGGTCAAATTTGAAAAAAAAAAGAATCCCTAACTATGATATTAAGAGAAAATTCTTTGTTGGATGAAATAAAAGTGGGATCAATATTTGACAAAAAGAAGAGTATAATTAACTGTTTTTCGAATATAGCAATTAAAGGACATTTTGAATTCAAGGTTGTTAGATCAAGCTCAACAAGATATTCGTTGAAATGCAATGATGATAGGTGTCGATGGTGTGTGCGTGCTTTCAGAATTAAAGATTCAACACTGTTCAAGATAGTAAAGATTGAGAAAAATTATGACTGCTCTGTTAACACTATGAAAGCTGATCAAAGGCATGCAACTTCAAAGTTGATTAGTGGTTACATTATCGACAATCTTTGAGACCCAAGGTTTGAAGTTACACCAGCTTTTGTCATGGCAGAAATGCAAAAATTGCAAGGACTAGACATTGGGTATCACAAGGCGTGGCGTGCTATTCAATGTGCTTCTGCTTTAATAAGAGGAACTCCTGAAGAGAATTATGAATTATTGTCTTCATACTTGTATATGATGAGAAGTAAAAACCCGGGAACATATACTAACATAAAGATAGACTACAACAACAGGTAAACAATCAAAACAGAATTTATCAGTCTGTTTTATAAACTTTAGGACATGCTGTCTACCAGTTAAAAAGTTAAGGACGTCTTGTCCTTAACTTTCATGTGTGCAGTCAAAAAGTTAAGGACACTTGGTGCTTAACTTAGAATTGCAAGTTATGAAATTAAGGACATGGTGACCTTAACTTTTTACCTTGTTAGTCTAAGTTAAGGACTCCATGTCCTTAACTTTTGAACTTTGAACTCAAAGTTAAGGACTGCATGTCCTTAACTTTATAAGTTGTAACTCAAAGTTAAGGACTGCATGTCTTTAACTTTATAACTTATAACTCTAAGTTAAGGACTGCCTGTCCTTAAATTTTGACCTTGTTAGTCTAACTTCAGGACTACTTGTCCTTAACTTTTGGTCTTGTTACCTGAAGTTCAGGACTACCTGTCCTTAACTTTTCACCTTGTTAGTCTAAGTTAAGGACTGTCTGTCCTTAACTTCTGTTAACGTTGTTTTATACTGTATTTTCAGGTTTTTTTATATGTTTTATACATATGGATCATCATTATCTGGTTGGAATCATTGTAGACCAGTGATTGTTGTTGATGCAACTTTTTTGAAGTCAAAATTTCATGGTGTTTTAATGATTTCAGTTTCAAAGGATGCAAATAACCAAATTTTCCCACTAGCCTTTGGAATAGCAGAATCTGAAAATAACAATTCCTATGAGTGGTACTTTAGTGAGCTTCGCAATGCAATTGGGAGCCGTGAGAATTTAATTTCTTTATCAGACAGGCATCAAGCTATTGCATATGCCATCGCAAAGGTATATCCTGAAAGCCACCATGGGATTTGTATCTATCATTTGGAGCAGAACCTAAAGCGAAGGAAAGTGAAAAGTGAGGTCATAAAACTTTTTCAAACTGATGCAAGAGTATACAGGCGCAAAGAATTTGATCTTTACATGTCAGATATAGCAAAGGTAGATAAGAAGACTTATGATTACTTGATGGAAGAACCACCGGAAATGTGGGCATGTTCTTGTAGTCCACGATGAAGATATGACATGCTCACAACAAACATAGTTGAGTCAATGAATTCTGTCCTATTAGAAGCAAGGGAGCTGCCTATATTAAGAATGATGGATTTCATTCAAGTGAAGCTACAACGTTGGTTTTATGAAAGAAGAAATGAAGCAGAAGGAACTTTTTATGATGTTTCTTGTTGGGTAAAGGAGGAATTGAAGAAAAAGATAGATTTAGCCTTTACTTTGAATGTAAGTATTATGTTCTATGTTTAGGTTATTATTTTAATATAATTTAACATAATGTACTAACTTATAATTTTTCAACACTGAAGGTCATCTCTGTTGATTCATGGCGTTCTAGAGTTGAAGAAGAAGGAATAACTTTCTTGGTGGACTTAAATAAAAGAACATATGATTGTTTTCAGTTTCAGTTTGATGAATTACCATGCATACATGCAATTGCAGCTATCGAGAAGAGAAACATCAAGAAGTCCAACTTTTGCTCGCACTGGTACTTAAAGGTATCTTGGCTGAAAACATATGAAAGACAAATACATCTTGTAGGACATACTGATTCTTGGATTGTACCAGAGAGTGTTAAGTCACAAATTGTTAAACCTCCAGATTTCAAAGTGCCACCAGGTAGAAGGCAGAAGAAAAGGCATATAGCAGCTACCGAGTCATCAAAAATAATATTAAAATGTGGTCATTGCAGAAGAATTGGTCATAATAGAACAGCTTGTATATATTCTCCAGCAGTCCATCCATTTTCAAGAAAGCATAGAGAATTGTAGATATATCCACTTATGTTTATCGACTATTTTAAGTTTTTGCTATAAATTGGATTCATTTAGATTATTCTTATTTGAGCAGATGTCTGAATTTTCAAAATTTCTTTCTGCTTACGTTCTTTGTGTTTCTTTTGAGTTCAAAGTTCAAAAGTTAAGGACATACAGCCCTTAAGTTTGACTTACAGGTTCAAAAGTTAAGGACAGGCAGTCCTTAACTTTGAGTTCAAAGTTCAAAAGTTAAGGACAGACAGTCCTTAAGTTTGACTTACAGGTTCAAAAGTTAAGGACAGGCAGTCCTTAACTTTGAGTTCAAAGTTCAAAAGTTAAGGACTGTCTGTCCTTAACTTTGACTTACAAGTTCAAAGTTAAATACAGACAGTACTTAACTTTGACTTACAAGTTCAAAAGTTAAATACAGACAGTACTTAACTTTGAGTTTCAAGTTCAAAAGTTAAGGACTGTCTGTCCTTAACTTTGACTTACAAGTTCAAAGGTTAAATACAGACAGTCCTTAACTTTGAGTTTCAAGTTCAAAAGTTAAGGACAGGCAGTCCTTAGCTTTGACTTACAAGTTGAAAAGTTAAGGACACTTGGTCCTTAACTTACAGTTCCAAGTACAAAAAATAAGGACACTTGGTGCTGAAGTTTGAGTTCCAAGTTCAAAAGTTAAGGATTCAATTTCAAAAGTTGAGGACACATGGTCCTGAACTTAGACTTTCAAGTTCAAAAGTTAAGGACACTTGGTCCTGAAGTTTGAGTTTCAAGTTCAAAAGTTAAGGATACTTGTGTGCTCCTGAACTTTGACTTACAAGTTCAAAAGTTAAGGACACTTGGTCCTTAACTTTGAATTTGAAGTTCAATTACACTTGGTCCTGAACTAATACTTACAAGCTCAATGGACAAATCAATACTTGACAGAAACAAAGAAATTAATAACATGATGCCTTCATATTACTTCTGAAATTGTAATTTTGCATAGCTGTGACAAAAAATTATGCTATACAAATAAAATAAAAGTGCCTTTTGAGGAATTTACAAGATATTTCATAATTCATATGGATTCTTTACAGCAATTTTATACAAAAAATTAACCACAGCTAACTTTCTTTACAACTAAACTACAGCTCCTTCGGACAACAAGTTTCATTTTTACTATCATAGTCGTCGCCAACATTTTCTGGTGGTGTATCATAACCAGAATTTCTTTTCCACTCTCCATGTGCCCAAAGATTTGCTGCAAGTTCTTTTCTAAAGTCTTTTATGTCTTCAGGTTGGAATTTCTCCACATCCTTTCCCATCATCAACAACTCCACATACTTGATTAGGAATGCACCACAATCAGTCCTAAGAAAGATGTAAGATATGAAGTCAATTAAATAATAAATCTAAAGTAAACATAAATTATATAACAAATAACAACACGTATAATCTAGTTTGGTGCGGTGATCTTTGCCACTGAATATCAAATTTGTTGAATGTATTCCAATGACTTGTGATGTTTCTCAAACTATGAGAACTTTAGCAAGTGGGGAATCATGCGTGCATACATTTCAATGTGATTCATTCCTGCCTCATATGGCTCACTATATATGGAATCGTACACATCAATCTTCTTCTCATTAAAGTCCAATACCCCCAAAAGAAAATGTGTCACAGCATTATCATCTTCTAAAGGAAGCCGACATGGAAAAAAGATTTTGTCAACCTCTGTCCAAGCAATTCCACATCTACGACTGTTGCCCCACACATATGGTGTTAGAAACAATTGATTATCACCACACCAAAACTCATCTGCAGCATCTTCATTGAAATCCTTATACACAAGCACCATATAGTTATCAAAAAGTATATCTGTAGTTGTACAACGAAAAGGATGGTTGTGAGGGTGGTAGCATTCCTTCTTTCTCAGATAATATAGGGTATTGTCAATATGCTTCATAAAAAGGCAAAAATTAAAACAAATCCATCAGTCATAAAATAATTAAAAAATAATAAATTAAGAATAAACAAAATAAATGCCTTGCAAATTATCAAACCTTATCATCAAGTACAAAGCTACTATCTGAAAGCTCAAGGAAGAACATTTTGCTACTGATATTTTGATGATACAATTTGTATGGATTTTTTCTCACACCAGTATCATCAGCATATATATCAGTTTGTCTCCTGAAAATTTTAAAAATATCAAAGTTAGAAGTAGTCCTGAACTTAGACTTTCAAGTTGAAAAGTTAAGGACACTTGGTCCTGAAGTTTGAGTTTCAAGTTTAAAAGTTAAGGACACTTGGTCCTAAAGTTTGAGTTTCAAGTTGAAAAGTTAAGGACACTTGGTCCTGAAGTTTGAGTTTCAAGTTCAAAAGTTAAGGACACATGGTCCTGAACTTAGACTTACAAGTTCAAAAGTTAAGGACACTTGGTCCTGAAGTTTGAGTTTCAAGTTCAAAAGTTAAGGACACATGGTCCTGAACTTAGACTTACAAGTTCAAAAATTCAGGACACTTTGTCCTTAACTTAGACTAACAAGTAAAAAAGTTAAGGACAGGCAGTCCTTAACTTATAGTTCCAACTTCAAAAGTTGAGGACACTTGGTCCTGAAGTTTGAGTTTCAATTTGAAATGTTAAGGACACTTGGTCCCGAACTTCAAGTTTTAAGTTGAAAAGTTAAGGACACTTGGTCCTGAACTTCAAGTTTCAAGTTCACACATGGTCCTGAACTTAGACTTACAAGTTCAAAAGTTAAGGACACATGGTCCTGAACTTTGACTTACAAGTTCAAAAGTTCAGGACTCTTGGTCCTGAACTTTGAATTCCAAGTTGAAAAGTTAAGGACACTTGGTCCTTAACTTTGATTTCCAAATTCAAAAGTTAAGGACACTTAACTTTAGTAATTTAAATATCAATATAATTAGTCCTAAATATAAAATTACAAGTTAAGGACACGAATTTAAGTAATTAACAAATAATGAAATACATTTAGGGACTTACGCTTTTTTGCGACCTTTTCTTTTCTCCTTGCCCAACCACACAATGAAATTCTTCAATAATTTTGAATCATCTTTGGCATAATGAAAAATACATGTACGAGTATATTTTGATTTTATCCAGCTCATTTTCTTGGGAGTATTTTTATTGTGCGCCATCGATGTTCCTGTTTTGCTTTCCTGTTCAAAAGGAGATTTCAACTGCCAATTAAGCTTCTTACTCCTTTTACCTCGACCAAGCTCTTCTTCAACATTTCTTTCAACCTCCATAGACAAACCCTCATCAATGCTCATTTGTGTACTTGGAGGAGTAGGAGTAAGAATAGAAAATGATGGACCATCATAACCAATACTATCTCTCTTCCTTTTCCTAGTATATTGGTTAAGATCTTCATTTTTGTTTTGCTCTGCAGATAACACTATATATATATATATATATATATATATATTAGTTTGCTGCAAGTCGTCAAATGAAGAGACAAAAACTAAGAACATTATTTTTGAAATGTACTGGCATTTTCAATTATGAATATAATATTTAGGGCACAATCAATACCTGTCTTGTTCACACTGCCTTCTTGTATTTTTTCAACAGACAATTGAGCTGACATATCGGTTGCATTTTCTTTATCTTCCAACTGCACATTTTCTTTATCTTGCAATTGTTCTCCGTGTTCTTCAATTGCAAGTTCACAAGATTCTGCAAAATATTTACAAGAGCTAACACAATTAGTACTTATTTTTAATTTTTGATTAAAACAAACATGTATAAAATTAAAAAAAACATTGTCTAACCGTTTGCAACTGTCAAGATCATCGTAGTTAAATCATTATCTTCACTAGCATTTTCTTGGATTCCAATATTGTCAGTAAGAGAGCGAGGTGTAGAGAGATCACATTTGGAAACAATCTCACTTATGCTTGTTCTTTGGGTATTTTCTAAGTCTTGAGATTGTACTCCAATTTTCTCGTGATACCCCACTACATCTTCTTCCCTTGCAGCTTCAAAAGATTCTGTAACATTTACAATTAATACCCATTCTAATAGTTCACTAAAACTAACATTCAACATATCATGAAAATTTCATCTAACCTTGATTGGCACAATTTTGAACTCCAAATTTCTCTTTATATGAGAGAGGTGTAGACATATCATATGTTCCTTCTAAACATTTGCATACAATCTCACTGACACTTGTTCCCAATGGACTTTCTAAATCCTGAGATTGCACTCCACATTTACAAATTTTTTCTGTTACT